TTCAAATGAAATGAGGCTTTTCTTAGATTTTATTGAGGAAAGCGGGTTGGTGGATGTCCCTTGTAAAGGAAAGAGATTTTCTTGGTATAGTGGTGATGGGAAGTCTATGAGTAGAATCGATAGATTCCTTGTATCAGAAGAGATAGTGAATAGATTGGGGGTGGTTGGTCAACTTATTGCTCCTATGGATATTTCGGATCATTGTCCGGTTTGGATCGTGGAGAATAATACTAATTGGGGTCCCAAGCCTTTCAAATTTAATAACGAATGGTTCACCTTTAATTCTTTTATTCCTTTTGTGGAGAAGGAGTGGAAAGATATTAAAGTGGGAGGAAGGGGTGATTTCATCTTGAAAGAGAAATTGAGAATTCTTAAAGATAGACTTAAATGGTGGAATAAGGTGGTGTTTGGTAGAATAGATATGAAGGTTGAGGATAGAGTGAGGGACATGAATATCGAAGACGAAAGGTTGGAATTATAGGTAGATGATTTGCATCCTAAATCTTAAATAAGAGGAAAGAGGTGACTAGTCAATTTTGGTTGAATTTAGGAATTAAAAAAAACATGCCAATTCAAAAATCTAGAATTAAACTTAGTAACGATGCTGATTCTAATAGTAGTTTTTTCATAATATGCTGAATGAAAGGGGAATACACAATCATTTAGATCCTATTATTACTTCGGGTGGTTTGAAGGAGTCGGTTACAGAGGTAAAGGAGGAGGTGTTGAACCACTTTTCGAGCAAATTTGTTGAATTAGAGCGTGAGAGATTGAGGTTGGAAATAGTATTAGTATGGAGGAGAGGGAGTTTCTTGAAAGTCCTTTTTTAGAGGAAGAAATAAAGATGACAATATGGGATTGTGGGAGTTCTAAAAGTTAGGGCTCAGACGATTATTCTTTTATGTTTTTCAAGAAATGTTGGTACTTTTTAAAATAGGCTTTCATCGGTTTCTTTAATGGCTTTTACTTCAGAGGGAATTTGTCGAAGACGGTGACTTCCTCTTTCTTGACTTTGGTTCCTAAGTTTCTTAATCTGGCGTCTTTGGATGATTATAGACTTATTTGTTTGTTTGGTAGTACGTATAAAGCTATTGCTAAACTTTTGACGGGGAGATTAAAAAAAGTATTGAATTATATTATATCTCCTTGCCAAAGTGCTTTTGTTCCGGGAAGACAATTGCTTGATGGAGTTTTGGTGGCTAACAAAATGGTTGATTTTGCTAAGAAAGAAAGTAGGAATTGTCTTCTTTTTAAAGTGGATTTTGAGAAAGCTTATGACAAAGTGAATTGGAATTTTTTAAGAAGTATGTTGGTTAAGATGGGGTTTGATTCGGTTTGGAGAAGATGGATGAAGTTATTGATCTTTCAAAGTAAGATATATGTGTTAGTGAATGGTAGTCTAATGAAGGAGTTTGAGGTGGAGAAAGGTTCGGGATAAGGTGATCCTCTCTCGCCTTTTATTTTTGTTTTGGTATCGGAAGAATTGGAGAGGTTGGTGAAGAAATCTATTGAAATAGGTGATTTTTGTGGTTTTGATATTAAAGGAAATTGTACGATTGATATCCTCCAATTTGCGGATGATACTTTGTTAGTAGGAGAAGGGTCTTGGAAGCACGTGTGGGCGGTTAAGTCGGTCTTGATGGATTTTGAACTTGTCTCAGGTTTGGGTATTAATTACCACAAAAGTAAATTGATTGGGATTAATGTTAGTAGCAATTTTATGGAGGCAACATCTTTTGTGCTTGCGTGTAAGATGGAAGAGAGTAAATTCTCGTTTCTTGGCATTCCAGTTGGTTTCATTGGGTGAGTTGGAAGAATGTGTGTTACCTTTGAATAAGGGTGGGCTTGGAATAAAAAATATTGTGGATTTTAATTTAGTTCTTCTTAATAAATAGAGATGAAGAATTCTTCATGTTCAAGATTATTTTTGGTTCAAATTATTGAAGGCTAGTTGTTTTAACACAATCTATGAAGGTGTTTTGTGGTGGTGAAAGTAACAAAGCTTCCTTGTCTTGTTCTTTATGGTGGAAGGACATAATCAAAATTAGGAGTGCTAATTGTTATGATCCTATAATGGCTAGTTGTTTTAACATTGGTAAAAGATTTTTCACTCCTTTTTGGAAGTTAGATGGGTGGAGGGAATGAGTTTGACGGGGGGATTTTCGATTTTGTATGAAGCATTTCTTTTGACAAAGATGTCAGTGGTGGGTATGCGGGGTTAGAAGGAGGAGATTTTGAGTTGGCGTGACTTTGGTTTGGGTGGGGTGGATGATTGGTATGATTTTGGGGTTCAGTTTCACTTCCCTCCAAGCAAAGTTAGTTGGTCATGAGGTAGTTTCAGATGGAATTGTTAAAGTGGTTTGAAGTAAGGAGTCGAATGAGATTTTTTTTTTTGTTTCTTCTTATTATGATTTTTTCGAAAGTTATAGAATTTTGTATGGTCCTCCGAATAGATGTGATGTTGTTTTGGGTATGGTGTGGAAAATGGAAGTTCCTTTTAAATATTAAGACCTTTGATTGGAGACTTTTTGTTAATAGACTTCCAACTAAAGACCTTTTGATGAATATATGTGTAGTCTTTCCGGTTTGACTCTCAAAAGTGTGTTCTATGTGAGATAGGCATGGGAAGTCGAGACCACACTTTTATCAAGTGCAATATGGTGAAGATTATTTGGAAGAAAATTGCGATTTGGGTGGGCAAGACGGTTGGACCGAAGGAGGAGTGCTTATCTAATTTTTGAATTGGTTTTATTTTGTAAAAAAAAAAAAAAAGAAGGTTATAGAGGGGAAATTAGGATTTGTTTGGCTTGCAACGATGTGAAATATATGGTTACTAAAAAATGAGATTTGTTTCCGAAATGATAAATGGAGTATGAATACGGTATGGAATATCAAGATTTTGATTTTCTCTGACGCCGAACTCCACTCACACACCCATCACAATTCTAAAATCTGTTTTTTTTTCTTCTGGTCACACTTCTTCTCTCATATCTCTGATATACTCCTTTATTCTCTTTTTTTTTTTCCCATCCAACAACATCAACCATATTATTAATGAATTAACCATATGTGTAGTCTGGAATTGCTTATAGCTATTATAAAGGATACAGACAGGTAAGGCTAATGAGGAGAGTAATTAATTGTGTAGCGTAGCCATTCATATAGTTTATAGTTTGGATCTGCATATATTTTTTTGAACAACACTAGAGGAAAAGATTTCCTATAATTTAAGGAAGATGAAGAAGATGTTCTTGGATTTGAAGAAGATAAAGAGGATGTTCAGAAAACTCATTTTTAATGACCGATTTTTTCGTTATTAAATCGGTCACCAATTTAAAGTTTCACGTCAACGAAAATTATCGTCGTTAACGATATTTGGATGAAAATAATTAATCATATATGATTTAAAAAGTTGAGAGACTAAAATATTTTTCTTAATAAATAAGAAATCAAATTGAGTACCGAATGAAAGATTAGGGGGGAAAATTATATAATTTTAATTTATATTTAAAAAAATTGACATGTTTTAGTCATTTAACATAATTTAATTTTATGTTTTAGTTCATAACTAAAAAACTTAACAGTCTTTTAATTTTATTTTTATTATTTTATTTAGTCCTTTCCATCAATTTCTGACAACAAAACATTCCGTTCAAATACAGTGGATGTAAAGCAAGACTAAAGATCTAAATGTGATTTAATATTTATATTATAAAGTAAGATTTTCACTTAATATAATCTTAATTTAAACTGAGTTTTATTGTATATCCACCTCAACAAAACTTCATTTTTTTTGTTCAAAATTGGCTGAAGGAACCAAATAAAAAAAACTGAAGTGAAATTAAATAACTAATTTGTAATGTTTTTAATTAAAGGAATAACATTAAATTAAATTAAGAGAATTAGAGACTAACATTAAATTAAATTAAGAGAATTAGAGACTAAATATACAAAGATAATAAATGAGACTGAAACTTTAATTTTTTTTTGAAATTGATTTAACTAAAATCGAACTCTATTCTTCACAATTTATCGTTAGTCTACTTATTTAAATAATTTGACACATCCTTTATCTCTATTAGCCCATTTTTGTGTTAATGTTTAAAAACCTCAACTTCTATTGAAATGAGATTCCTGTTTTATTTGTTACCATAAGTCTTATTTCACACTAACATGATTTCTCTGTTTTTAAGCCCATACCATAAGTCTTATTTCACACTAACATGATTTCTCTGTTTTTAAGCCCAACATTGTAGCCTCTATAATGATGTATTTCTTCTGATTAGTGTTTTATATAGATTAGATACATTTATTGTTTAATAAATTTAAAAAGATAATCTTTATTTATAATAATGATCAGAAGGAAAAAAAATTTAATTATAATAATGATCCGAAGGAATACAATTTTAAGCAGAAAAAACTAACTTGACAAACAAAATAAATTAGTACTACATTAAGAAAATGATATTTTGACACTTATATTTAAGTAAAAAAAATGTCATAGAATTCGTCCAAGTATGAAATGAAAAAAAATTAAAAAAATAGAGACATTGTTATACGATATGAGATACGGTGTCAAATATTAAGTGCTCAAATAGCACTCCTTCTAATACAAAATTTGAGAAATCTCAAGTCTCAATACAATTTTTTTGAAAATGCAGTGTGCATAAATTTGCTTTCAACAAATGGCATCTGAAATAAGTTGCTCTACATCATTTTATTGATGTTCAAAATACATAAATTTTATACATAATGCAAGGAACCAAACAAATTTAAAGACATCCTAAATACTAGCTTCCATGTTTCTAATTGAGATCTCATCTATTACAAAACTACAGACGCAGATAAATAACTAAAATAACACAAAAAGCATGAAATACAAAGCTTCCCTTTGATCGTGGTCTTGTTGGAGAAGGCGAAACTTAACTACTATGCTTAAAAGACCATAGAGAGTGCAAACTCTCCGTGTTATTATCGAAACAGATTGAAACCGGACAAAACTATCCCAACAGAGAATTATTATGCTCTCCATTGACAATATCAGGTAGCTCAGAACTATGTGAGAACTTCATCCATCTCTTTTTCTCCATAAATTTCAGACAAGGCTGCATTATAAGGCCAATCGACATAGCAATGAGGCTTACAACCAATACTTTGAGGGTTGAAAAAGCTAATACCACACAGATCAATATTGTAGGAGGGATGCACATTACAATTGCTCCCGCCGTTCCGCCTGGTACTTTGTAAGGTCGAGGTGCATTCGGGTGTTTGATCTTCAACAATATGAATGCGGTAAACTCTAGAATCATACCAATACAGTACAAGAAGTTTTCTGCAGCTACGATTTCTTGAAAACTCAGCCATGATAGTAAAAGTACACCAGAGGCTGAAAATAGTATTCCTGCAAGAGGCGTTCCGTGGCGAGACCTCTTGGTGAAAAAGTCCGGCAACATTCCTCTCTCAGCCATTCCTAGAAGCTGGAAGGAGTCACTGCTCATTTCAGCAACAAACATTCCCATGTTTGACATTGCAGCTGCAGCTTGAAGCCACCATCGCAACCACACTCCTCCAATGACCATAGCAATTTCAGAGAAGTAACCGTCAGTCCATAACTCGCGCTGAACAGGAAGAGCGCCTGTACCAATCAAAAGAGGAAAGAAGTACGCCACAACAACCAGAATCAACGCGAAAAATAAACCTTTCGGAAGTGTTTTCTTTGGATTTTCAACTTCACCAGCAAGAGTGCTTATAGAGTCCCAATAATTGAGATTCCAAAATAGTGTATTCAAATACAAATTCCAATTAACATCATCCAAATTTGTCTCAAACCATCTTGCAGGTTTCATTTCTGGAATCGACATAAACCCCATGACAACAAAAGGAAGCAGCGAGAAAATCCCTAAACAAACAGCAGCAAACCCAACAATGGTCAAACCTCTGTAGTTCAAGTAAGTGAGAACTACGGTCAAACCCCACGTCGCAAAAACTCTAGGCAAACCACCACCTATAACCGGAATCGCAGACTTAAGATAATCAAGAAACAAAACAGGATACAAAGCATTGTCAATCACGCCACTAAGCCACTTCATCCAACCCTGCTGAAACCCCCAAAACGGACCCAAAGCAGTCGAAACCCAAACAACATAACCACTATTTTCAGGGAACATGGTACCCATTTCAGCCGTTATCAAAGCTTCCGGAACACTCCATATAAACGGAAAAACCAAAAATCCAAGTAAAGCTAACAAAGGACCAGCTGCTTTCACAGTATCCTCAACACCAAAAGGCCCTCCTGATACCTCATAGAAGATGAGAAACACAAGAGGTAAAACTGAAACTTTCCTCATATGATTTGTTGCCTTCGGGGAAGCCGATTCACCTACTGCGACATACTGGCTCCCACTTCCGGGGTTCTCCCCCATTGTATTAAAATCTTGTTGTCTATTATATGATGTAGTCCTCAATTTCTGCAACCAGCTAAAACATACATTTTTTTTTCTTTTATAAGAATCCTATAACAATCATAACTATAACATCAAATCAAAGTGAATACATACACTATATTCATACTATTCATACATAACACAACCAACTGAATTTGAGACTCACTTTATTGAATCAAAATATAAAATATGGCAAACTAGATTTGTCAATTCTACCGACAAAAAAAAACATTAATTAATAAAAACCACACGATAAAAACAGATCTCGGACACCGATTTCAAACAAAAAACCTGAAAATTAAATAGCAAACCCTTGGGCACAAGTAACGAACTTATTTATGGTTAAAATTGAGGGTTTTAAAAAGTCAAGCAAAATTGGGACCCCAATTAAGAAGAGAGAATGAACGAACCATGTGAGAATTGTAAGCGTGTCAGGTTATAGGAGATAGTGACTTCTGCAATGGAATCTGATGTTGAACGAAAACTACCATAGCTAAACACTCTCACCCCAGAAACTGACTGAAGAGAAAAAAGCGGTGGAGCCAAAAGGACGTGTCGTCTGGGACCGATTATGTGTACGGGACTTAAATTTGGTATGGTTACGATGTTTAAGCCAAATATGGGATTGTTGGATTGAGATTATATTTATAAGTTTTTTTTTTTAAGATTTTAAAATATTTTATAAAATGAGAAAAAAATAGTGTTACTCTAATCGTCGAAATTAATTTTATACTATCAATTAATCACAATTTTGTATCAGAATAAATTATATTTTAATTTTAATTTTTTTTAAAGATAATGTAGTTTATTGGTTTTCTTTTAGATGATAGTGTAAGATAATTGTATACTCTAGTATATATAAATTAAACTCTTATAAAATTATATTGATTGGTACATAAGTGGGTTAATAGGTATAATTTATGTCTAATAATTAACGGCGGGTAGTGTTTGGTAAAATTAACGTGTTATGCCTTGTTTGTTTTGATTTTTTTAAAATAATTTTTATAATGTAATATGTTTTCGAAAAAAATTTTGATTTGAATAGTTATTTTTAAAATATTATTTTAGGTATTCATTGTTTTATAAAAAAAAATTAGATATCAAAATTTTAAAAAATCACTTAATTTTGAAACTATTTCGAATAGCTTTTCATAAAAATTATTTTTAAAATATATTTTGATTTTTAATAATGCATGTTTATGTTATAGATGATAATATTTTGAAATAAAATCCATTTTCAAAAATACAAAAAAAATATCTATTTTTTAAAAACTGAAACAAACTGATCTTTAATTAACTGATAAATATAAAATAACATAAAAGACATTTAAAATTAATTATAAAGGATAAAAATATGTTTTAATTAAAAATAATAAAAATAAAATAAAATACTATTTAAAATAGCATCTGGTAAATAATTTGTACACTAATAAAATAAACTATAAATTTGTAATACAAAAATTGCTATTAAAAATGCATTTTATATCATACGATCTTATATACTATAAGTTATAAATTTAAAAATATGGCTTTGTCAGATAGAAACTTCGTGAGATATTCATAGTTGATAATTTGTTTAAGTTATTTTTATTGTCAACGTTTTTTTATAAAAATGCACTTTTTAAAATTAAATTAGAAAATATTAATATAATTAAATTTTAGATATATTATAATATTTATTGGGTCTTATTTTAAAATTATGATGGATTTAATATCAATTATTTTAAAATTTTAAAATTTAAAACTTTGTGATGAATGATATAGTGCATATTTGTGAGAGTCCTAAACAAAGGCAGCTCGAGCGTCATCGTCTAAAGGCAGCTCGAGCGTCATCGTCTAAGGGTGATATTGCCTAGGTGACATTTTCTTAGAATAAATGGGCTCACTCTTGAGATTGATAACATGTATAATATTATTGTTTTCTGTAAGTCAGAGGAGAAAGAGTCCACTACGATTCTCTTGAGAAGAAGAGATCAACAATCTCCCATAGTTATGAGGGAGCGGTTGTTGTCCCTGTGGGTTTCTTAAATCCTAAACCCCAAAATATAAATACCTCTCCTTTAAATGAAGAAACACAGATCCTAACTAATATCATATTTCATATGTGTATACCTAAACATCAAATTGTGATACATAGTATTTCACTTCACGTAAACAAGTCCTCTAAAATCACTCTAAACACTACTATACAAGGTTTCTCATTACCATGGGTAGGACCTAACTACTATATAACGTAGTATATATATATCAAGACTTCTGTGTAACTCTATCCTTGCAGGTGTAACATGCACACATGTGCGTTTTAACTAATTGTATAAATATTTAAAAAATATGATTAAAAATATAAAATAATACAAATAAAAATTTAATAAGATAGAATTAAAATGGTTTTTTTTGTGTGGATGTTGATAAGGTAATAGATTTCATACTAACATTCTTAAATAATTAACTTGACACATATGTTTGAATAGAGTAATAAATTAATAAATCAATAAAATTAAACTATATTTTAATATTTAATATAAAATCATATAGAATATCATATCTATTAGTTATAATAATCGTTTTAAATATATGAAAAGTTAACATAGACTATTAAACAACAATTATTGCAAAAAGTCATATATATATATATATATATATATATATATATATATATATATATATATATATATATATATATATATATATATATATATATATATATATATATATATATATATATATATATATATATATATATATATATATATATATATATATATATATATATATATATATATATATATATATATATATATATATATATATATATATATATATATATATATATATATATATATATATATATAAAAATTGATAAACCAAAAAATTAAATTATTATTTTTATTTTGTTTTAAAATAAAATAACACCAATAATCAATGTAATTTTGTAAATTCATACACTAAAAATTTAAAGATGGTGATAATGTGAGTCTAATAATATCAACTTTTGATTTTCTAGCTAATTAAAATATTTTATAAAAGGTTAATAAACCATTTATTCCTGGTTATATGGTTATATGGGGTGAATCTCAAAAACAACTCTGTAAAAATAATAATGATATATTGTCCTTGTCATTTGAAGATTATTCTGTTTTACCCATTCCTGCGTTACTCATGAACATTCGTATTATCTTTGTCACAACTGTGCGGTCGTACGAGGCGCGTATTAACACCTTGTATTTCTCGTGAGTCGTGTATGTTTCTCACTGAACGAGTGATCGTCGACCTGGTCTGGGCGTAGCTATCCCCTTTCACCCGTGTCGCGATGGAAGGGTGGATTTGATTTAGCTGTCGAATTCACTAGTTTCCTCTGCTTTACAGGTGAAATCGTCGAACCCCTGAGTCATCCAAGCACATCGACGTCAAAGAGATAAGTGCAGTCGATGAAGGTGTCCATTTGGTCGACACGATCGATGACCTGTCACTATCATGGGTCATGCTAGAGCATCGAGGGATAACTTCGATTTTCAGTTATACTAGAAGGGAAGCATATACTATTGTCGAGTATGGCAGCGACCAAGAAGGTTTTCATTGAAATTTCACGATCCTGCGGCCGACACATACGGCAAGGATATGCTTGGAATTCGAGAAGGACCGTTTTCCCATGTACGAGGTCGTCTTCAGAGATTTGGGGCTTCGTCTGCCCTTTAGTGATTTTCAGATGGGTGTGTTTAATCACTTGAACTTGGCGCCCTCTCAACTACACCCCAACGCGATCGCCTTCATCCGAGCTTTTGAAATCACCTGCCGGTTCTTGGGGATCGGGGTGACCATTCCCTTGTTCTTCAGGGTTTTCCACCTCCAACGGCAGTCTAGGGGCGGTAATCACAGTTGGGTTTCCTTCAAACAGTCGAAGAGGTTGTTTCGCATGTATATGGATTCTGTTCGTGAATTCAAGGATAAATGGTACGTCGTGCAACCTCGTCTCAGGCGGCCGTGGATTATGTGTTTGACCTGGCTTCCATCATGGATGAGGATGGGGAAGTGTGCTATGACAAGGACGGGAACCCAGAGATTAGAAGACTCTCGAAATTCCCTATCCACTGGTGCTCGGGCCACTACGAGTATAATCTCGACCATAACCATACCCCCGCTGGCAGCATGAGTGTCGAAGACGAAGAGGCCTTTGGTGTTCTCAATCATTCTGTTGACGGGTTCTTTCCCTCGAGGTGGGTCACAAGGGAATGAGATGACATTCTTGATGAAGACGTCGAGCCCACATTCGAAGCGCATCCAATCAATACTAAGGCACTCATTGAGTGTCGTACATACGGGAAAGCAGTGAATCTTATAGGTTTTCGACCCCGTGTTTCTATTGTATTTTTACTCCTTAATTTATTTTTGTTATGTCCTTCTAACGAGGCTGACTCGAGGGTGTTGTTTTTGTTTTTGTAGGTAATATGGCCGAGCATCATGGGAGACTTCTAAAGCTGACCTAGGAGAAGAAGAATCACAAAAGATTGGTGAAGCCGAACCAGCCCACACACCTTGGTTCAGCCTCAGAGCCGGCCAGGGACGGGTCAAGCGGGTCGTCAGGTACTCGCGATGTTGCGTAGCATGCGGCCGTGTTGAGTAAGAAGAGAAGTCACCCTGAAGGTGGACATGCAGGTGTGATTGATAAGGGGGTAACTGCTCGAGCTGCTAGGGCCTTCACCCTTCCCCCTTGCTTCGTAGAAAATGATTTCTTCGAAGGTTTTCCTTTGACCGTGTATGATGGTGAAACTGATGTCATCAGACGCCTCGACGAAGAGGGTCGAAGGAAGCATCTGGTTTCTGGCATGGTCGGCCTAATGAAGGTCGCAGAGATGGCTATCGTCCTTGTAAGTGAGGGAGCCGGCTCTTCGGTCCTGGTGAAGGAACTGGAGTCGGAGAAGATGGCTCTCCAGGCAAAGACGCAGAAGTTAAAGACTGCCCATGAGCGAAGCGAGGAGATG